TCATCCCTGAATTGCGAAGAACGTCAGTCCGTGTCCCAGGTATTTCGCAGACCACACGGTCCCCGAAACGGGACCGGGGGTAAATGCACTGGACCAATACGGGAGCCATATCGGATTCTGGTAGGCGTTATCGGAACCGCACACCGTGACATATGTCGACAGTTTGATGTGCGGTGGTAGACCCGGTTGTCGGCAGACGTCGCGCACACTGGGACCCCGACCGCCCCCATTGTTGTTGTTGTTGGAGTCGTTTACTAGATCTGATGCAGTTGCGGACAAAGCAATTACGTCGGAGAAACTGGGGAATTACTCCGTACGCGAATTGTCGAGCACGCAGCAGCAGCAGCAGCAGCAGCAGTGAGGCGGGGAGACGCTAGCTCTCAGGTGGCGGCTCATTCGACAGGACCCGGCCATATTTTCAAAGTTCAAGAGGCCGAAATCCTCGCAAGGGGTGACGACCGCGTGAGCCGCGAGCTGCTCCAGTCATGGTTCTCAGGCCCGCAATCCATCAACGAGCGCAATGACCTACCGGTATCATATCCCGTGTTGAGATTTTTCCTGGGCAAGGGAATCAGTCACGTGGGGAGGGCGCGGGCGAGCAATTATCCAAGTGACAGTGAGTCAAGTTGCCGAGCCATCATCACACCAGCATCCAGCACGGATGACGAAATCACGGCCATTAATGGCTCTGACTCGGACTGACAAGCCACCACCGCATCAATTACGACCCCAGCGGGGATTGCGAGAGTTGTTAATTACAGCGCTCACGGCAGCCACGTGATATAAATACTGCACTCCCTATGCCACCATCACCTTTATCTGCGACTGTCTCTGATGATGGATTCGAGTGAGAATCCGAAACGTCAGGCCAATAAATTTCTTGTTCCAGTGATCGCATCTTCGTTTTCTCGTCCTTTACTGTATGGACTAGGGGATGTGAAGTGGAGCGCCAAGGTATGGGCTCGACCGCGCCATCCACCTACATCCTTCCCCGCCTTCGGTCTTCTTGACTCTGTCTTGACACCAGGCTCAAGTAAGGGAGTAGGGGAGAGTGAGGAAGATGCCGTGAAAGTTTATTATCACTTTAAAATAATTCACGCACAAGTCACCGTCTCTGTGCCCACCATGATGGGGAGCACACGGTGGACATCGTTGGCAGCGACGGTCGAACTGTCGGAGACTATATCCCCTTGCCTGAATGTATATCGTTAGTTCACCTGAGGATGACTGTGGTGCACTGAATGAGAGGAACTTTGGGACGACTGAACAAGCTGGAGAGACCGCCGCCCCCCCTCTCGAGCGTTGTCCGTCCGCGCCGGCAAGTGTCTGTCGTTGATACCTCACCAGCCAGCGGACAACAAAAATCGGACAGCTGCAGAACAAGGACAAAACCTAAAGACTCGGAAAACCGCGCAAACGTCAACTCCATTTCCTACATCGCGCAAGCTCCAACAGTTGGCTACGGACTCTGTTGCTCACACTGCCATCCAGCCAGCAGGCTTGCTCAGCTGATCGCTCTGTTGAGTAAGGAGACACGATCGCTGGGACAAGAGCTTTATTAGCCTGACGTTTCGGATTCCTGCTTGAACCCATCATCAGAGAGAAAAAGGCAGATACGAGTGGTTCATGCACAAGGGGCTGCAGTATTTATAGGATGCGGTCGCCATGCTACCGCATACCTATGAATATTCACGTTTCCACCTCCCCCTTCATTAGGAATGGTTGCACGTGGCGTGATGGCTGTTTGCTGGCTGACATTGGCGTCGTTAATCGCTGCAATTTCATCACGTGCGTTGGATGTTGGTGTAATGATTGCTCGAACATCTGACGCACTGACCCTAGTGAAAGCCATTGGGCTCCAAGCTGGAGAGACCACCCCCCTCTCAAGTGTTGTCCTTCCGTCGCTGATACCGTACAAGTCGGCAGACAGAAAATTGCGGGACAAAACTGAAGAACCCTCACTGGAACAAGACCAAGAGACCCGAAAAACCGCGCAAACGCAAACTCCATTTATTACGCAGGGCAGAATCCGATAGTGGACAACGGACTTTGTTATTGACACTGCCAGCCAGTCAGCAAGCTAACTCAGCTGATCCCTCCGTCTTTTTCGGAATGTCCTAGGGTGTCTTGCAACCCCAATGTGTACTACTAGCAACCTGTCTGAAGTTTATGAATATTATACGGCTATCCCGCTGTGACTGATGAATTTCGACCCAAATATTCCTACATCAGATTTCGATCTGCGCCCATAGCCCTTAGTATAATCCGATCCACTTCAAGTTCGCAGTTAGTTTCTGACGAAATTAAAAAAAACAACAATTTTTAACTTGAAGTATCTACTAGAAAGCAGACAGGGAATGCTGGGGGACCCACTGACTAGCCGAACCCCTCGCAGCTGTGTCATGCAACGGCTGAATATCGGCGAAACACGCGTGTATGGGCTTTTCGCTAGTACTTATGCTGTGAGTATGGTATCCCCATAACCTATAATATACTACTAGCTTCCTATGGGCAATTAATGAACATTACGCGGTTCTCCGCTGTGACTGATGGGCCGCGGCTCAACTATTCACACATAAACATTTCGGTCTGAGTCTATAGACCTACAATATACTGATCTACTCCAAGTTCCCAGGTAATTCTTGAGGAAATTACAAAGCGTATATACCGGAAGTGGATGCACCAGACGAGACCAGTCACTGTTTTTTTGCAAGAAAGTCATCAAGACAGAAGGTTATTTTGGCGGCATCGTAAGCGTGACTACTGCTCCCCATCCGCATGTGTTTGTCTCATCGCCGGCGCGGAGATAAACTAATTTATTATTAACAACACTGAAGCCTGCGGCCCCCCCAAGCAGAGCAAAGGTTAGCGGACTTGGTGAATGCCGCAACCCCAGACAACAGAGACCTAACCGCATGGTCTGTCAGCCGGCGTATCGACTTAGGATACAGAAAAAAGCCCTGTTGTTGTACAGGGTGATTGTTTTACTTCCGCAAAAAAACCGACATCGGGCTCTCTTCGTCGGAATATTCTGCCGGTTTCTGACTTTCGTCGACCGCTTTCTCGACCCCTCTGTATGTATGATCGCATTTACTCCCCCCCCGTTTTCACTAGATTCTGAAGCACCTACCTCGAGAATATTTCCTTAACCCATTCAAAACAAATGCGAGATAAAGCCGTCCCCTGCAGCCGGTTGGCAAACACACTACCAAACCCTCGGAGTTAGCACAGGATAAACAGCATTGCTACGAATAAGCACCACTTAAAGGACTTCTACAGGCCTATCTGAGTCGCAAATCTGCCGGTCTTCTAATCGCCTGCCCAAGATGATTTTATGGATAGAATGACACAACTGGCCTTCAGGTATTCAATGCTAGAAAACGCTGTATTCGAAAATCCATAGCTCTGCGAGGCTTGTTGCCCTATGTATGGTGCATATGTTGGTAGTTCGGTAGGCCCAATGCTCCGAAAAGAGACGGACAAGTAGACTGTCTGTTACGCCGAAATGTATGATTATTTTGCATTTTGGTACTATGCAGTACTTTAGATCTAACCAGGCCATGAGTGCCAAAAGACACTGCCGGTTTTTTAGTCCATGACTGAGGTGCGTTTTCATTGACCAACAGACTGCCCCCGGATCTACGCTCCATGACACTCCTGTTTTGGGACATATTTGGCAAACCTTATGAATGAAAGACTCATTTGAGGAAATACTCTGCCGGCGAAGACAGGCGAGTATACGATGGCAGTTCTTCACTCAACTTTGGACCTCAGCCAAAGCTTCTAGTTCGGGTGATCTGGAGCTCCAAGCTGGATTAGGTTGTTCTACGGTTAAGTTTCTGTCGTTTAACGTGCGGATATACGAACGAGCTGTAGGAAGTGGTAGGTAAAGGGCGCCTTGTCCTATTTATCCATACTTAAGTCCCCACACTGTCGCCTCTTGTTGTCGTTAACCCATCAGACCAAACACTGCTCAGTCGTTTGTTGTACATCAACATACCCCGCCCAGGTTTACATTTTGAGCAGTTCTCATCATTACTTATCGGCATGTAATGCTCATTGGATCACAGTGAGCACTACTCACAAACCACTTTACTTTGATAAGTCGTCATTCTGCATTTCCAATCTGAAAAGACCTAGGTTTTCAACTCGGTTATGTCTCCGCGAACCTTGAGGGGCACTGGATTCGAACTTTACGCAAAATACCCATTCCAGTCTGGGCGATGGTCTCGCATGGCTACGAGCACCCTGGGTCGCAGTTGACAGAACCTGTGCCCGTGGGTCGGCGGTAGAGAGCAGAGATTTTAAAAGCCCCGATCCCTGCTTACTTCTTAGGCCTTTTTAACATTCAGCTGAGGCACTGCCAGCGGGGGATGACACGCAAGTCAGGAATCAGCAAGCTAGTCTCCTTTGTCCTGCTCAGTGAGCTCATTAAATAGGAGTATTTTCCTGTCGAAATCGAACCCGAACCCCCTATGGAAGACAGAGACAATACGACCCCGACACGAAGAGGTTTTTTTCGGTGTTAAGTGGTGTATCTGCTTGTTTGAGCACAGATACATGTTTCCAGGGCAATTTTTCAGAGTATGACATCAGAGTAGCATTTCTACGACTGCATCACGGTTTATTTATGTATCCAGCATTTGACACAGTAACATTACCCCTCCACTGGTCATCTGCCCGTTTAGGCATGCAAACCCGTGTCCATAAACTTTAAAAAGTTGAAGCAATCCTCACTTTAATTTATGAGGTAGTGCTATCTTAAACGGATAATCTGCTAATTAACAGCAAGAGCTCAAAACACCTAAACAAGATTTCAACATGGCTAGATGAGTTCAGGAAGCCCTTCGCGGGCATCATCACCAAGGAACTGACCTGCATCAGGTAGAGATTGACGTTTTGAACAGTTGATGCCATGTGTTTGTACAAAAATAGCCCAATTTGGAGGCCTGAGATATGAACGTCTGCAATAACATCAAAATAAATGCTCTCTTGACAATTCATTTTCCTCGACGTGTAGAAACAACGACAGAGACCTGTCTTTTCTCCTTCCGCACCTTTTGATCCTTGCTTTGTGCTATTTGACTGGGCTTTTGGACCCGTCGTCTCTCTAAGGACCTTTGTCGGGCGACAGCCAGCTGTGGCAGAGAGCTTAAGTCATCCTTCTTGCCAAGTTTTACTTTTACAGCGTCTCCATGCCAGGGTTTAAAGAAAACCGTCATCGCTCCCTCTTCAGAAGACGAGGAGGGGGAGGAGGAGGAGGAGGAGGTAGGAGGAGGGGCTTGGACGGGAGGTGGGACGGAGGAATCCTTCCTGGGCAAACGGTTGAGGACGGAGAAGTTGGACCCAGTCTGCATCCTATATTCTGCCAGCCGGTGGTCGTCCTCTAGGAAAAATCCATTGCAGGAGAGATCAAAGGGTGCGGTGACCTGGCCGGTTTCGCAGAGTTGGTCCTTGAAACTGCGCACTGTTTGGCTGGCCCGTGCCACCACAACAAAGGACCCTCCCTCCGGCAGGAGGATGCGTACAGGCACAATGTCCGGTTTATAGCCCAGACGCACATTCAGCGTGACGATGGCGTTGTCCGTGATACCGTACTCCCGCAGGGCTATTCCATCCTCCAGTAGGAGGCGACGGAAGGTGAGGAACTGCTCCTCTCCGCTGATGGCTCTGACCTTCTCAATTTCACCCTTCAGGTGCTTAACTATGGCGTCCGCTTCCACCTGCACTGGGAAGGACTTCCCGTGTCTCGGTTCGATAGTCAACTTCATCGCTCCCGCTCTCGCTCTCTGTGTATGTGCGCGGCTGCCTCTGCGAAGAGCTTGCAGGCCTCTTCTGTGTCGAACCCGCTCTCTGATCCACTGTCAGGTCCTGCTGTCGATACGAGGTTATTTAACTGCGAGGATCCTTCCCGCACAGACGAATCGTGAGGGCCGTCTGGCGTCGCCTCGTCGCACCTGCTCGCACGCGTGCGGGGTGCGTGCGTTTGCGTCTTAAGGATGAGTAATTACACCGGCTCACCTAAACGACGCCGGGTACAAACCCGGCTAACAGCTGATAGGGCTTCGCCTGACGATGACGCCGCCACAGTGATGCGCAAGCACGGCAAAAAAGCACAAGTCACCTCAAGCTGGTTTCGGGGGGGAGGGGGGGCAGCGAGACATCGATCAGAAGTGTAGGCACTTCGGTCAAGTTGTGATCGTACCGCGCACAAGTGCAGATTACTGCCTGCACAAAATGAAAAGCAGATCCTCCCGGTGTCGCTTTGCTGCGGGATAAATACCTTCCCAATAGTGCATATTTTGAACTGGTTTTAGTGAATTATTTTCCCTCTACACGACACTGAAGTATTGATTTTTCCGAGAGTCGTGTGAGCATCTTGCCACCGGAGGTAAAAAATTTGTTTTTTGAACTATACGAAACGCTCGGTCAGTGTGTATTTCGGGAGAATTCCGAAAGTGCTTAAAATTACGAAGTCTCCTCTAACCAACACTCGCCGCCTTCTTTCAGACGAAAAATTTTTGCTATAAAAATATTGTAATAGATGAGCCCTTTTTACGACCTTTAGGAATAAGACGAATTTAGGTGTCATTTATTATACGCAGCACAATGCCTAAAAAATCGATAAAATGTGCTCGAGTCAAGCAACTATGAATCGCCTCATTCTTCGTTAACCCCAACCATGGCTTCTTTTTGAAATGCGAAAATTGCGCACTACTCATAATAAAATTTAACTACCAGTTTATATAACCCATTTTACTCATAAACATACATGCATTATCGGTAGTATTTTTTCCTAAGACCCTATTTGTGATTGGAAAGAAGTATCTTCAGCGGAATCCGCTGTGCGCTAATGCTTACTAGATTAAGCAAATAAATTTATCAGTTTATTTAAACGGATTATGAGGTCATTTAACTGCGAAATACCCAACGCTAACCAACTGTGCTGATGTCAGCTGAACTTCTGCCGGATTTGCCTCGAATTACACCCGCTGACTGGTCGATTTTGTATTGTGTTCAAAAATGTCCGCCTTTTTGAATTCGTATGGGACTTGTTTTGCTACTTGTCGCAGATACGGTCGCAGGGATTTTAATGCTTCTTGTCATTGAGATACTGTGCTGACCTACAACAGATTTACTTCCCGTCATAACTTATTGCATCCATCTTGTAAATGTGTGAAGCCTGTTTGTGTAATTTCTCCCGTGTCCTGATCATGCCATCACCTCGAGTTTTGATCTGAACATTCGAGACATGTGATCCAAGACTGGACTGTCGTTGATGCGGATCTGTAAAATGAGTCACCTATGCAAAGTATCTACCCTCTGTCTGACTCAGCAGAGGACATGTATGGAGCTTCCTTCCGGAGTTACGCGGTCTCTTCACAAGCAGTGAATTCAAATACAGCCTCGTTTAATAGTAGTGAAAATCCGATTCCCAGGTGGCATAGCAGAAGAAGAGTGGGCGTTCACCGGGAGGGGTTTATTTGAGATCCGACGTTTCGGGTAGTTTGCTCGTCTACCCATCTTCAGGGACTGGGAGGTCCTGTGCACAGCACTCCTTATTATGGCGCCCTTTGTCCAATGCGTGATCCGCCAATGCCGCCTGTGTGGCTGCATCCAACCCTCATGTCACCGTGACCTGAATCGCCCCCGTCGGCCGCGGTGATGACTGACGGCCCCGATTGTCCCGCGCCGTGACTGTCCCCCGCTAAGAAGGTTCGTAAAGTCAGATAAGGGGAAGGCAAATTGATGTGGCGGTTGACAGAGCGGTCGGTGGACATCCAGGCTTCTTGCACTTGCCTTGCTGTGTGATCGCTGCCCCGGCCCACAATCTCAACGGCGTCAAGAAGGCAAGTGCAAGAAGCCTGGATGTCCACCGACCGCTCTGTCAACCGCCACATCAATTTGCCTTCCCCTTATCTGACTTTACGAACCTTCTTAGCGGGGGACAGTCACGGCGCGGGACAATCGGGGCCGTCAGTCATCACCGCGGCCGACGGGGGCGATTCAGGTCACGGTGACATGAGGGTTGGATGCAGCCACACAGGCGGCATTGGCGGATCACGCATTGGACAAAGGGCGCCATAATAAGGAGTGCTGTGCACAGGACCTCCCAGTCCCTGAAGATGGGTAGACGAGCAAACTACCCGAAACGTCGGATCTCAAATAAACCCCTCCCGGTGAACGCCCACTCTTCTTCTACAGCCTCGTTTCTGTCAATTCCGTGTAACGTTTGTGTAATTGACGACAAAATTCTGAAATTCGTTTTCGAGTAGAATGATTGCGGGGTTGGGGTTGTAATACTGATTACCGCGCAGTATAACTCCAAGATATTTCAATGGCGCCACGATGCGGGTGTTTGAATGCGCTTCCATATCGCATGTGTGCAAAAACCGCACTTGAAAAATACCTAAACAGTTTAATTTCTTTCCGCCGATTTTTGGTATCTTTAAATAATCAAATATATTTTAAAGAAGACATGGACTAACTATTCTTTCGTGTGTTCGTTTTGTAGCAGATTACGTCTTTTTCAAGTTTTATGCTAGGAGAGAAAGTATCTATCGGTTTTGAGAAAAAACTTTTGCAATCCTCGAGTAATTGTAAAGCTGGCTACAACTGCAATTGTGAATGGAGTTCACAAACTGCATGCTGTACACTTTCGGCGTAAGGAAACTTATACATTTCCGTATTAAATTGAGTAGATGTCATATAAAGCTCAAAGAGTATGCAATGAAGGTGGGCCATGTTGTATACTTCATAAGCAGCGTTATTAAACGCACAGTTGTGATGCGGTATGAATGAACATTTCACGGTCTTAAAAACTCCTAGGTACAAACTAAGGTTAGCAAACGCAAGAAGCTGTTTCACGACTGTTACAACCCGCCAGAGTAAGCAGTGTCCATCGACCCAAGGCAACAATTCATCGTCGTTTGATGCAACCCAAAAACATAGTACCACTTACTGAAACCTCAGCAGTTGTCTATCAAATGCGTTGTAACGATGGAGACTGTAACTACGCTGGGGAGACCGGATGGAAATTGAAGACGGCCTACATGAGCAAAAACTGGCAACTCGGGGACAAGACCCGAAATCCCAGTTTGCTACTCACATCGGAGAAACTGGCCACAGTTTTGACTTTCAAAGGGTAGCCGACTTAAGCTGGGACATCTCAGGGACAGAGAATCTTACACTTGAGACTTGGTGCTCAGATGTCAACTCTATCAAGAGGCATATAGACCTTTCTGCGACCTATAAAGTCCTACGTCATTACATCCGCCATGACCAGAACATGACTGTCTCTTGGAGCTTAACAGTACTGAGCAAACACGGACCGTCGACCAATTCACCCAAGAGGAGAGCACAAGTCCAGCCGACCCCCGCTGAGATGACGACACAACTCAGGAGGCCGACAACGTTCACAGGCAACTTTTTAAAAAAATTATAAGTTTATGTTTAAAGTTTTTCTAAAAAAGTTTCTAAGTGTAAGATTTTTCAATACCATGAGATGCCTGTTCATAAAACATCGTGTCTCTGCATTTACTAATGTAGTTTGTAAAGTTTACAATACGGCTCAAATTCACTTCTAAATCTTATGAACTCTGTATAGTATCCTCTTAATATCGTAGAAAAATTTGTGGTTTCCCGTACGCGGAAAATATAGGGCTTATAATTTGGAAACTTTGAATGCATGTGTAACATCAGGTCGGGTACAAAATTATTCGGGAATTGGGAATGTTTTTGAAAACCGAATTATACCCTTTCTTCAAATAAATTTTTTTTCTTTCGCTGCCTTGGCTTTCTAACTGTTGTCTGTGAATGAGATAAATATTAATATGAGATAATATTTTTGTTCATGTTTCTACAAAATGCATTTAAATCTATTCGGACATCGAAATTCAGTCGGACGGGTTTGCACTACCTAATTGGTAACCCTTACCGGTTGTGGATTTAAGAGGCGGTTGGAGAGAAGCGTATTCAAAAAACGGCATTCTGGCATGACTGAAATACCTTTGCATTATGCTACATGATAATAAATATTACCAACTCAACCAAGTAGTCTTTTCTAATTGAAAGCACATTTCAGTTAACGTTTCAATGTGAAAGATTAATGACAACGCTCTCGCTCCACAACATCTCAGCAGGAGAGCGAAAAGTGTCGTCGGTAAGATGTAGTTCGGTAGCCCCACCTGATGGACACAATCCTATTGGGGTTGGGGTCAAGGATTAGGGGTTAGGGCTGGGGGTTTGATTAGGGGTTAGGCGTTATGGTTAGGGGCTAGGGTTAAAGGTTATGGTTAGGGTTAGGGGTTAGGGCATCTATTTCTCAAGCATGGAAAGTACAACCATGCACTCCCAAAAGCTTTTCTTCTGCATACAACTACTTGACCTCGTCGCCTGTGCGCCTCCCGTCTCCACCTGTAAAAACTCCCTATTACCACCGGTCCCATATTACAGGTGACTGAGGTTTGTTTACTTCAGGTGGAGCCGTCAAACCACATCCGACCAAGTCATCCCCATGAATCATAACCAAAATGAATTAAACGGTTCTCGGGTACAGCGGAGTGCCTAAACGTTATGCACAAATAGAAGCATAGTTGCGTCCTACGATTCAAGGTGGCACAGTTAGGGGTCAGCAGATCTGGGAATTCCGAGAGGATCATTGAGAAGATCGAGCAGCTCAAAATTAACTAACTGGCCAGTGGCGGGCTGACCGACATCCCCGAAACGTCAAAATAAATCTGTTCCGGTGAACCACTTCTCAAAAGACTAA